GAAATATGGCAGGAGCATTGCATAAACCGAAAGGCATCCTCCGGTATGCGAATATTCCATATGGACATGTAAAAGCAGTCTTCTCTTGATCCTCTGGTGCCACAGCTATCTGATTGTACCCTGAATAACCGTCCAAGAAGCAATAGAAAGCATGTCCTGCCAACCTCTCTAGCATCTGATCCAAGAAAGGAAGTGGAAAATGATCCTTCCTGGTTGCCTTATTCAGCCTCCGATAATCAATGCACATTCTCCAGCCAGTGATTGTCCTTGTGGGAATCAACTCATTGTTCTCATTTTTCACCACAGTCATCCCCCCTTTCTTGGGCACGGTCTGCACAGGACTCACCCAAGCACTGTCTGAAATTGGGTAAATCATCCCAGCATCAAGCAACTTCACCACCTCCTTTCTCACTACTTCCTTCATAGTGGGGTTGAGTCTCCTCTGTGGTTGCCTTACTGGTTTGACCTCTTCTTCCATCAATATTTTGTGAGTGCAAAAGGAAGGATTAATACCCTTAAGATCTAAAAACTGCCATCCAATAGCCATTTTATTCTTCTTGAGTACCTTAATCAACTTCCCTTCTTCCTCATCAGACAACATTGCATTAATGATTGCTGGATATGTTTGATCATCCCCAAGGAACACATACTTTAAATGTGAAGGTAATTCTTTAAGTTCTACCTTAGGTTCTCCTTTTGGAATGTCATCAATCTTCTTCTCAAGCTCTTCCACTTCTGGCTCTTCTTGGTAATCCTCTGTACCTGTCTCTTCTTCTGATCTTTGTTCCTCAACTGGGAATTCTTCTTTTTTATTCACTTCTTCCACAACCTCCTGTATCACATCCAATCTAAAACAATCCTCCACATCAACAGGATGCTTGATGGTTTCAAATACATCAATTGTGACTGTCTCCTCATCCACCCTTAGTAACAACTTTCCTTGTTCAACATCTATCAAAGATCTTGCAGTTGCTAAAAAGGGTCTTCCTAACAATAAAGGACTTTCTGTATCCTCTTCCTCCATGTCAAGAATCACAAAATCCACTGGAAAAATAAACCTGTCTACCTTGACCAAGACATCTTCAACCACACCTTCAGGCCTCTTGATAGATCTATCTGCAAGATGCAGAATAAGATTGGTCTCCTTCAAAGTGTTAATTCCCAAAGCTCTACATACTGTCAACGGCATCAAGTTTATACTGGCTCCCAAATCACACAATGCCTTTCCCACCTCCACATCTCCTATAGCAATAGAGATACTGAAGCTTCCTAGATCTTTCATTTTTGTTGGAAGCTTCTTCTGGATTAGGGCACTACACTCTGCTGTTAGGGCCACTGTCTCACCATCAGTTAATTTCCTCTTCTTAGTAAGAAGATCCTTCATTAATTTTGCATAGTGAGGCATATTTTCCAGTGCTTCAGAAAATGATATGTTAATTTGTAAATTTTTGAAGATATCCAGAAATCTTGCATAGTGCTGTTTCTGAATCTCTTGCTTCAACCTCTGAGGGTAGGGAACTTTAGCATAGGGAGATAAACTAACTGGTTGTTCTTTCTTGTCAGCCATCTTCTTCTTTTCCCACTTCATCATCTTTTGTGGGGAAGCATTTTTACCAACTTCTACCTCTCCTTCATTCTTATTGTCCTTCCCTTCCTCTTCTTTGTCAACTCCAACTATAACATCTCTAACAACTACTTCCTTCTCACTTTTCTCATTTCTCATTTTCTCTCCTTCATCATCAGAGACTACATCTTCAACCACAACCTCTTCTTCATTCTTTTTATTTTCCACCTTCTTTTTCCCTGGTTGAAGTACCAACCCACTTCTTGTCATAATTGCTTTACAGTGCTCCTTAGGATTCACCAGTGTATCACTTGGAAATTTCCCTTGTGGTCTCTCTGATATCTGTCTTGATAATTGACCAATCTGGGTATCCAAATTTCTGATTGATGCTTCCTGATTTCTGAAAGAAGTTCTGGTCTCCTGCATGAATGCAGTTGTCTCTTCCCTGAATGAAGTAGAACCCTGAATATAATCCTGAGTTATCTTAGATAACTGAGCAAACGCTTTCTCCCATGCAGCAGGATCACTTGACTGCTCCTTCATATGTGGTGGTGGAGGATGTAATGGTGGATTCAATTGATGGTTGGAACTATAGCTGAATCCTGGGTGTTGATTCTTGTTTTTCCATGGTGGCATATAAACATTCTTTCCCTGATTGTTGTAGTTCATTTGATTATTCTGATCATACCACACTCCATTCACCTCTGCTTGTTCTGATGATCCCCCATAATCACACTCCTCTGTCACATGGCCCTTGCCACAGATAGCACATACACTCTTTGTTTCCACAGAAGCTACCTTTTGTGAAGAGAGTTGCTTAATAAGGGTATCTAATTGTTGCTGCTGTTGTCTCTGTGTCTGCATCAGTTGATCATTCCTTGCCAACAGAGCATCATACCCATCCAACCTGATAATTCCTGTCCTTCTGTCAGCCACTGGAGCATTATCAAATTCTTGAGATGCTAATGACTCAAAGATATCCAAGGCTTCTTGAGGGGTCTTGGTAGTCAATGATCCACCAGCAGTGGCATGCACCAAGGTTCTAGTGTTAGTGGTTATTCCTTGCAGGAAGATTGCTGCTTGTTGCCATGCCTCAATTCCATGCTGTGGACAACACTCCCAATTGGAGGAATCACTGCAGGAGTCATGTACTCCGCACTGGTTCCAGCAAACTGATCCTTCTGCACCAAATGTATCAAAGCAGGCTTCAATTCAAAGTTGTTGGGCTCCACTGTTGGGCGCACAACACTCCCAATTGGAGGAATCACTGCAGGAGTCATGTACTCTCCCAGTGTCCTCTGTGGTGGTGGTGGTCTGTGATTCTCTGCCATTATATCTTCCTGATTAACCGTACTTGATTCACCAATTTCTTGCAACTGTCTCCTTTGCCTGGCTGCCCTTTTTTGCTTCCTCAATGTCCTTTCTAATTCTGGATCATACAACAACAAATTTGGATCAAGTGTACCTCGCATATACCAGAATCAAAATTGACCAGAAACTTAACATAAACTAAAATACTGAAAATAAAAGGATTCAATCTCATAATTCTATAGTATCAGTTAGTGTTGAAAAACAAATTCCCCGGCAACGGCGCCAAAAACTTGTTGGACGTTTAGCAAGTGCACTAGTCGTACAAGTAATAAAATGATGAGTAAAGATCGTTCCCACGAGGAATTGTGTTCAAACACCAATATACCATAGAAAACTAATTTGAATCAAATAAGAGTTTGTAAAAATCATGAATAATTTGTCACCAGAAAATTGATTGTAAGTAATTTGACACAAAGTAAATATGGATTAGGAATTAATAAAAACAACAAGTAGTCAGAAAACAACTTTCCTCCATGATAACCCATATAAAAATTGATCATATGATGAATTCCTTTCCATGTGATGTTAATCAACCTTTTACTTATCATCAAGATGTAATCCCTTACTACCCTGATAGATACATTAATCAGAAACCCCAATCCCTTGGTGATCCCTTTCTTAATACATGCATTAATTACTAAGGTCTTAAGATCACATCAGAATCCTAGCATCAATCCCTTGACTACTAGAATTCTGATGTTGAGATTATCAAATACAGAAGTCATATAAACATCCCTGTTCTATATTACTTCTTTGATAGAAATAATTAACTCAGAAAATCTCAAATCAACACATGAAAAATACTTCATCATATTAATCAAATCAACATAATATTATCATGGAGTTCCATTGCATTCAGACTACAAAGACTCTACTCAGACATGACTAAGGAATAAATAAGAGAAGAAGAAACAAACTTCATTTCCATGTTGAAAGTCTTCAATCTCCAAACTATTACAAGGAAATCCTAATACAAAAACTAAGAGAATTTAGAGAGAAGTCAGACTAAATTTAAGAGAGAGAGAGAGAGAGAGAGTTCAGATCCCCCAGATTCTGATCTAAGTGTCAAGGCTTTGCCTTATATAGTGTTACAATTAAAAACAGAAAACTGATGTGGGCGCTAAAACGTCCATAAGTGGCCGTTTTAGCGTCCATGCTTTACGTATGCTCAACTGCTTTTAACTGATTTCAACGCTAAAACGTTAAGGAATGACCGTTTTAGCGTCCAAAGTTGGTGAATGCTCAACTAACTTTAACTGACTCCAACGCTAAAACGTTTGATTTGGACGTTTTAGCGGTGAAGACCAGAATCTTTTTCCACTTTAGGGCAATAAAATTCGGTAGGTGGCTGGTATAGTTCCCTATCCACAATTCTGCTATTTAGTGGAATAATTTTCCTAGAATATAGGAAGGCCGTTTTAGCGCCCAAGACCAGCAATTTTCCATCTTCTTAGTGTAGCAGCGCGCTAAAACGCTATGTGTGGACGTTTTAGCGCTCATCACCAGCAAGTTTTGGCCTCTTCCTGTAACAGGGCGCTAAAACGCTCAATGTGGACGTTTTAGCGCTCAACACTTAGGCAATTTTTCTCCTCTTGAGCTCCAGAATCTTCTTCCTTCTCCAGTTGTCTTTCAAGCTTGCTTTTCCTACAAGAATCATACAAATTTCCAATAAAGCTCTTGAACTTGTAATTGAGGACATCTTAGGACATTAACCTTGTTTTTCATCATTTAATCACACAATTTGATCCTAATTCCTGCTAAAAACCATGATGAACTAAGGGTTCATCAATGGGGGATTGAAAATAAGGTGTTTTCCGTGTCTGTTGATAATGCTGCGTATAATGATGTTTGCATAAGAAATATCAAGAGCACATTGTCAAGAAGCAACAATTTAGTCCTTAATGGAAACATATTTCATGTTAGATGTTGCGCTCATATTCTGAATTTATTAGTGCAACATGGCCTTAGTCATATCAAAGATATAATCGAGAATGTTCGTGAAAGTGTTAAATTTGTCAATCAATCTGACTTGAGGTTGAAGAATTTTTGTGATATTGTTAAGCAGATGGGGGTAAAAGAAAGAAAGTTAGTTATTGATTGTCCTACTAGATGGAACTCAACTTGTGAAATGTTATCTACTGCTTTAATATTCAAAGATGTATTTCCGGAATACAAGGAAAGGGAACCATATTATAATTACCTGCCATCTGCAGAAGAATGGAGCAAAGTTGATAAGGTCTGTAATCTTTTGGAGGTTTTTAGTCATGTTACTAATGTCATATCAGGTAGTGACTATCCCACTGCCAATTTATATCTCCCTGAAGTTTATAGGGTTAAAGAAGTAATTGATGCTGCAATTGAAGATAATGATGATTTTATGAGATCAATGGCAAGGCCAATGAAAGTAAAATTTGACAAGTATTGGGGGGAGTGCAACCTACTGATGGCGATTGCTAGTGTTCTTGACCCAAGGTGCAAACTGCATGTGGTAAATATTTGCTTCCCAATTATATACAAATCAGAAGTTGAGGCAAAAGAAAATGTTGAAAAAGTGAAGCAAGCTTTAGAAGATTTGTATAATGAGTATTGTGCTTTAGGTTTGCAAGAGCCAGTCTCTAATAGTGAGCTAGAAACTAGTGTGAACCAATCATCCTTGTCTTCCACTCTCCCACCTCAAGGTCCTAAATCTGGATTTTCTAAAATCATGAGCATTGTGCGTGAAAAAGAAATTGTTCCCCCAGTAAAATCAGAGTTAAAAAGTTATCTTGAAGAAGGGATTTATATTTGTGATGAAAAATTTCACATTTCCTTTAATGCCTTGGAATGGTGGAAGACCAACAGCTTGAAATACAGAATTTTATCAAAGATGGCAAGAGATATATTAGCTGTTCCAATTTCTACAGTAGCATCTGAGTCCACATTTAGTGCTGGTGGAAGAGTAATTGATGCCTATCGTGCTAGTTTAAGCGAAGAGACTATTCAAGCATTAGTTTGTGGCGGAGATTGGCTACGAAACAAGTATGATTTGAAGAAAAAAAAATAAAAAGTATAAATAGAATTCTTGTTATTATGTACTTAATTATTATTTTTTCTCATATATTGCTTCTGCTTGTTTGAATTAATAGTTGGTTCCCTTCTTATTTTTGTATGGCTAGGTTGATGGACCTGTGTTGCCTCTGTTTCATTGCTTTAAAGGGTTTACAGGTAGATGTAAATTTCTACACTTTTTTGTCATGTAATTTTTGTCATGTAATGTTACATGCTGATTGCTGATGCAACTTAATATTGTGGAGTAATTGGTACCTTGTTGTTGCTGGTTTATGAAGTTATTGATGAAGCATCTTTCAATAATACTTTCTTTTCCCTTGTCTTGATTGAGTTATTAATGGTAGAATTGTAATTTCCCTTATATTTTCCTTTGCCATGTATGTGATAACAAGGAAGCACAATAGTGAGAAATGGCTGATGTGACAAATTGTAGATCATTGGATGAAGCATGAATCTGATGGACACCAAGCAAGCTTTTGAACTTTTAGTTTTTCAGTTTTTAGTTTTTCCAAGTTTTTAGAAGGCACATGCACGGACGTGTTTCTTGGAGGAATCCAAGATTTAGCCGAATTGAACCTTCAAGTTCTGTAATTCTTAATCTTGCTGAACAATTTCACTTTAAGAATATGATCGGTATCTCTTAACCTTTTTACATTTAAACTTGGGTATGCAATGACAATATTTCAGGAGTTGTTTAATATTTAATTTGTATTTGTAAGTGATCCACTAGATATGTGTTGTAAAAGCAGGGAAACTGGAGATAACATTTTGTTGTTGCATAACCATGTGCCAGGTTGCAGATTTGTGCTGCTCCTTTGCTCTATCAAATTGGAACTACTCTATTTATGTTTCTATGCTTCGTTGTTTTTTCTCAACAACTCCCCAATTGGGGGTCCACAAAATTTGATATATTTATTTTATATCTATTTATGTTGATGGATATATCTATTTTTGTTGATGGATTCAAGATTTATATATATTTATTTTATGAGCTTGGGGGTCCACAAAATTTGATATATTTATGGTTTACGATTCTCAATTATTACTTTACAATCTATGTCCAGAAAAATAACTCAATCACTCCTTGGTAGGCCTACAAGGCCTATAGGCCATAGTAGGCCTTTTATTTTTTAAAGATAGAGCAGGCTTGGCCTATAAACGAAGCCTTTAATAGGCTGATAGGCCAGATAGGCTTAACTTTTTTTTACATAGGCTTAGGCCAGAAAAGTCAAAGCCCGGCCCAGCCCAGCCCATTTACACCCCTAATTACACCTGCTAAGGTCCCAATTTCCATCCATTCCCACATAACTGCATACCTTTAAGTTTACTTGGTCTTCTGGAATATCATTTGTAGCCAACTCTAAAAGATTTTGATTAAGAGGGAGCCATCTATCGTTCCAAAAATTGACTTGTTTACCGTCCCCAATCTCCCAGCTTGAGAACTTTTGCATCTTCTTCCAGATTTTGCACATATTGACCCAAAGATGGAGTCCCGAGGCTTATAGGAAAAAATCTCATACCTATCCAATCCATGAGCATACTTTCCAAGAAGCACCTTCACCCACAACGCCTCAGGCCCCTGCTGGATTTGCCAAATAATTTTTGCAAGAAAAGCATCATTCATAGTGGATAGACATTTAAGCCCAAGTCCCCCAGATTCTTTTGGACGGGTTAGGACGTCCCAATTTATGATATAACAAGCCTTTTTATTATCATTCACCCCCCCCCCCCATATGAACCTTCTTTGAAGTCGTTCTACTTCTTCACAAATTGCCTTAGGAATTCTCCCACTCTGCAAGTGAAAATAAGGAATTGATGATATTACTGATTGGGCTAGTTGCCTTAGGATTGCCAGTTGCTGAGTCTCTCGGCTACCTTTGCAATAATATTTCCATAGTTGTCTCTTGTCACCCTCTCATGCGACATCCAAGCTGCAAGATATCTTCCAAGGTTATGAACTCTCTTAAACCCACTTTAGTCTTCTATCTCTTTTGTTGTTTCCCCCAAAGTGTTTTTGGAGAAATAAATATTGGTCTTTTGAAAGCTGACCTATAGCCCCGACATTTCTTCAAATAACTGCAAACATTTTTTAATTGTTTGCATCTGGTCACAACTTGCCTCTGCAAAAAGCATTAAGTCATCTGCAAAAATTAAATGGGAGACTTTTGGACCATTTTTACCTGCCTTGATAGGATTCCATAACCCACCATTAACTACTGTATTTGTAACACCCCGTATATATCCGCTAATGTTATCATAATATCGTATTAAGCTGCGCTTAATTAAAATGCGAAATTACTTTTTCTTTTCAATTATGATGCCATTAACATTACCAACTTGCTAATTAATCAATTAATAAAACATCGCATGTATGTAATTGCAATAAAACAGCTAACTGAAATACCTCATAATCATAGATAATATAAGTGTGGCTCTTGTCACGGAACTACAACAATGTAGATCGGACCATCTAACAGTTTATACAGCTCCAATCTAAAAAGTACTAACTGAGAGTGTCATGGACAATCCCCATGCTCACTCAAATAAGGCAACATGCCCAACATCAGTCTCAACAACAACATAATGATAAAAGGCATAAAACATAATCAACATCAATATCCAGTCATGCTAACAAATAAGCAGAAACAACATAATCAGCTAAGCTCCGGCCTCCTGAGGCATCAGTACCCATACTACCTGATCCTGAAATAAGCATTCCCCAAACGTGGGGTAAGATCTCTAATCTAGAAATCTCAGTAAGTCAGTGAGTCCTCAAGGATCTTCCACCCCAAGCTCACTTACATGTGCAATATAAGTTCAAAAATAGTTTATCATTTATCATTTCTAAAACAATGCAATGCAGCAGATAATCATGCCATGTGTGTCAATACTAATCTACTGGCCAGAGACAGTGCAGGTATACGTCTATCACCTACACACCGTGCAAGTACCACTTGCATTCACCTCGGTACACCGTCTTGTATGGCGCCACATACTCAGGCTTCCCGTCAAGATGAAACAACACATGCATATTAAAAGCCATTACATGTAAAGTTCAATCAACATGTCAAATATCCAAAAGCATGTACATAGCATGCATAAACCATACCCCCATGGGACATGGTGGAACCACAACATGGCTAAACCGAGGACACGAAAGCTTACCTTGCAAGCTAACTCCAAAAGCCAAGAGTCCACAGCTCAAAGTCCAAACACAGCAGATTCACAATCTGTTATGGACCAATACTATATCAATAATAATGCAACACAAGCATATAACTTAAAGACAACGTCTTTCCTTACGTTTTACGTCTTAAGGCTCCATACCAAGCCATAAGTCCTTAATCACTTAATTCTGACTTAGTTCATTAATTACAGAAGTTCAACTTCATCAATCTAGGGTCCACAAACCCCCAATAGCCTACTGTACACACAGCACAGCTACTGTTCTACGAAATCCCAGAATATCCGGATATTCCTCGGGACCATATCCGGATATGCAATATTCGGATATCTCACTGGACGTATCCGGATATCCAGAATCCCATATCCGGATACCTAGTATCCCGATACTCAAAACCCATATCCGGATATCACATATCCGGATATTCATCGGGCACATATCCGGATATTTAACGACAGAATGCAGAAAATGCATTTCGTGAAGATATCCTTCCAAGGTTCCATTTTTAACACTTACTTACGTTAAAGCATGCATCTTTATACTGATTAAGGTCCACACCCCAGTTGGTTACTTGATTAATCCTTTAAACATGCAAAGATCACACCTTTAGTCCATTAAAACACAAGCTCAAGGTAGGTACAACTCACCAAAGCTCAAAACAGAGGTTGGAGGTGCTCTTGGAGCTCAAAACCGGCTCCCAAACTCTGACTTGGAGGAGTGCACGAAAATGCACAACAAGGTGGTTCCTTTCTTCCCAAAATGACCACTTGGAGCTTCAACAACCAAGAACAAAACCTCTACACTCCAACCTACTAACTCAGCCCCCTCACAAGCTCAACACAGCCACCAACACTCAGAAAGAGACCAACAAAGCAGTCCCAAAGCTAACTCTCACCCTCGCCAAGTGTTTAGAAAGAAGGAACAAGCGTCAAAGGTGATAACTTGGCCAAGAAATGAAGGGAAGAGCAATGGAGCACTATTCTGGTCAGCCTCCACCAACAACTCACGCTGGAATTCTGTTTTCTAGGGCTATGTGCCCTTAAAAATGGGTATTTATAGCCCAAGCCACTTAAACACACAGTATTATCTTTAATTGCTACGCTTAGCATTTTAATCCCAAATATTGGATTCTGAAACTAGACATTTTTCTAAGAATTATCATATTTTTTCGTAATTTTCTGAGCACCTATCCGGTACGCGCTTTTCCAAGCCAGTACCGGTTTCTAGCACCAGTTCTCATTATCTGGACTTGAAACTCGTTTTACGAGTCCTACATATTATTCTAGTAATTATCATGCACTTATATTAATTTTCCGGGATACTTTTTTGGCACGCATTTATACCGACTAGCAGAACCGGTATCTGCACTTTTCTCCCGAAAAGCGACTTTCAGCATTCTTAATCACTTATTACGATTATTAAGCCTCATAAATAATTATTAGGGTCAATTATGGAATCATTTCCTATTTTCTCGTAATTTATTAATTAAATTCCTTAATTAACGGTGCGGGTTCTTACAGTATTAATGATATGGGACAATTTCTCCATACCAATAACAAACAGGTAAGGCGAGAGGGGGTCTCCCTGCCTGATTCCCTTGGATGGGGAAAAAGTTTCAGTTCTACCTCCATTCCAAAGCAAATTAATGGTCGGGGATGAGAATGAAATCAATGATTTTCACAGGGAGGTGCAGCTCCTGACAAGTATTCTTTAAAAATTGTCAATTAATCCTGTCATACGCCTTTTCTAGATCCACTTTAATTGCCATAAAAGATTTTTTTCCTTTCATCTTGTGCATATAATGAATGAGC